CTATCATTCCCCTGGTTTCAGGAAAGTGTGAGGAAATTGTGGGAAAGATCTGCAATTGGCACCCTGATGGCTGGTGGGAGTCAGAGCTCAACACAATCTGGAGGGTCACCCATTTGCCAATCTTGGATTAAGCTGTCATGCCTAATAGCCATTGATGGATCTATCTTTGCTTAATTTGTCAATTCCCATTCAGACCATCCTTACCTCTCATTGCAATGCTTTCTGCAAGGTCTACAGTTTCCCATATTAGTTTTGCAAGTATAGGAAAGAGGTGTGCAGGCCTGGTTACTACAAGGCCAATGCAAAGTATTAGAGCCATATTGGACCAGGCTAAATGCTCACTATAGCCTGATGATGTCAGCAACATTTGAAATTAAGTTCTTCAATATATGATTTCCACCCAACTCATGAATAGACTGCAAGTAAAACTAGATTCTTCACATGTGTGGTCAACAGACCAGCTGACCATAGCTTTGAAGTCCACATGCAGATGTCCTGGATTGTTAAACTGGTGACATTCAGTGAAACTGTCAATGAGAGCTGTAAACAATGGGACAATGACACTCACTTTATTGAGCAAGCATGTTTTTTCTCTTTGGGTCAATCAGTTTTCTGGCTTTGTTTCTTGCAAAATTTTATGTGGTGATTTCCTTCTTGTTAATTGCTGCCAAATGGGCTTCGACTTATGGTGACTCTATGAATGAGAGAACTCCAACCTGCTATCAACAGTCCTCTTAAGGTCTTGCAAACTCAGGGGCATGACTTCCTTGATTGAGGGGGGAAGCAGACGGCGCAAAGAACCATTTTGGGGACAAGGAAGGGGAGTTGCAGTTGCACAGTGGGCGCCCCAACCCCTTCCCGAAGGCATCGTCAGAGCGCCGGCCCCTCCGCACGGCCGGCACTCCGACTATGCCTTCCCGACGCAGCGGCCACACACGCTGCAGTGGAAGAGTCGCCGAAGGTGCACCACCAGCCTTTTACGGATACCTCGGCCCCGCGGTGCAGCTTCCCAGGGCGGCCCATGGCCGCCCATCTGCATCTCCTTTGAGTCTATCCATCTGTAATGTAGTTTTCCTCTTTTCCTACTGCTTTCCACTTTACCAAGCATTATCATCTTTTCTAGTGAGTAATGCAATCTCACAATATGTTCAAAGTACAATAGCCTTAGTTTAACCATTGATCTCCCTCCCCCCATCCAAATTTCCTTTTAACCAGAATTAAATTCCTCTTTTGCTCCTAAGTGTGTTGGGGGTGAGGTAAGGAGGTTAGAGTTGCTTCAGTATTTTGCCAATGCTGATATGTAGTCACTGTCTATCAGATGAAACCAAAAAAGGTTGTATGATATTGCACATGCATGCAGCGCAAATTGTATGTATGCACAAATGTGGAACACAGATGTGTCTCTCATGAAAACTAACTGGGAAACTCACAGATATTATTGAATGATAAACTGAGGGGAATTCATAACCTCTAATTTAGTCCAACATCCTGTCTCTAAAAATGGACAGTCATGCATTATACCTAATTGCCATTGATAGATCTTTCCTTAATTTGACCAATCCTGTTCAGACCAATAGCTGATCATCAGTAAATCTTGTTTCAATGACTTCTATAAGCATGTATTGCATTTCTCTGGTATAATCTTTCCCCTTTCCTTGATCTTGGTGGATCATGTCTCTTTACTCTTTGTACACAGGAAATTTAAAGTAATTCTTGCTTGCTTTGCAATTTAAATGTAAAACCAGAATGCTTTACTGGCACAACAAATGCCTTCAGCCTTATTTTCTTTTCATACCCCTGGTCAGGTCTCTCACATAAACAGCTCAAAGGTGATTTGAGCCAATGTATGAAAATGGTTTAAAGTCTGAAGGCAACACTAGATGGCAATGGTCATTCACACAAGATTCTTCCACATTTGCAAGAGTTCAGCCAAAATGTGAGAAAATCCTTGCTCTCTTTAAAAACTTGAAAACTTGCTTCCCTTCTTCAGAAAGAACTTTTTCCATCTGTATGCAATTGTTGAGGTGGAAATATTCTCTAATTTGGAGGAAAGGGGTTATTCTTGGATAGTCGTATACTGCAACTTTACAAATCCAATATGTATGTAAAAGCTTTGGGTGTAAATATAATTCTTGTATGCTTGGGACTACCTGTATTAGGGCCTTTACAGACTGCTAGAAATAGTGCAAATTGAGTCCACTTTAACTGCCCTGGCTCAATGCTAGGGAATCATGGGAACTGTGTTTTTTTCTGAGCCTTCTCTGTCAGAGAGCTCTGGTGCCACAATAAACTACAGTTCCTATGAATTCCCTTGCACTGAGCCAGGACAGTTAAAGTGGCCTCAATTTGCACTATTTCTGGCAGTCTGCAAAGGCCCTATGCAGTGTTGTTTGTTGTTGTGTGCCTTCAAGTCATTTCCAATTTATGAAGACCCTAAGGAGATTATTGCACTACAGTTAAGCCCAATTAAAAAGAGACTTATCTCGCCCGAATTGAAGTAAAATTTGGGGTGCATCTGGATGCTATCACACAGATTTCACCAAAAAAAAACACCGTCTGGATGCAGCCTGCATTCAGCCAGGCTGACTTAACTTGCTCCAGTGGCCATTTTTCAAAGTTGGAAGCATTCTGAGTTAGAAAAATGGCCGCCAGAGCGAGTTAAGTCAGCCTGGCTGAATTCGGGCTGCATCCGGATGGCAGTTTTTTGGGGAAAATCCATGCGATAGCATCCAGATGCAGTGTTTTTACATGGTCGAGCCAGGATTTGAACTTTGGTCTCCAGAGTCCTAGTCCAACATCCAAACCACTACAACATGCTGGCTCTGTGCAGTGCTGTGGAGTGAGAGCTAATCTGTACACGCACAGGATCACAGGGAAAAACTTCAAAAGTAGTACACAATTGGGACCTACAAGATGTTGTAATATGGAGTGTTTCTGTTCACTTCCAGTCAGCCAGCCACGTTCTCTTCCCCAATATACTCCACTTCAAACTTCCCAGTCATTCTATACTACAGTTATAGCAGAGTGATGCCACTTCTACTGTCATGGCTTTGCAGACAGAATCTTGGCAAATGTAGTTGGGTGAGGTACTTAGAAATCTCTACTAGACAGCTCTAGTGATGCCGTTGGGGAGTGCTACTTGCAGTGCTTCTGAAACTATTTGATGTCTGGTTGGGGTTTTCCCCAGTATGCTGGAGACTATGGCCCTAAGCAGACCACTAAAAAAGTCGTCTTCTGGGCAGGGAAGAGGAGGGGCAGCCGCACGAGCGGCGCCCCTTCCTCTCCCCGAGGTCGCCCCCAGGCGCACCGGGGATGACCTCACGGCGCAGCGCCCACATGCGCTGCGCCGTTTGAGTCAGGGAAAGTGCGCCCGCCGCTTTTAGGGCGCACTTTCCCTTAAATCTAAAAGGAGCGCCAATTTGGTGCTCCTTTTAGATGCGCCGCAGGAGCGTCGCAGTCCGGAGGCATCCCCCCTATATGTATGCCCATTGAGTACAATTGTTTCTTTCTTTTCTGGAAACTCTCCAGGAACCAGCAGCAAATGGTTCAGGGACATGCACCAGTCCAGGGATCACTACTTTGAGTAGCACCCACTAACAGAAAATGCTAAGAGCCTCATCAAACTCCACATCCCAAGATTCTGTAGGATGGAGCTATGGCTGTTATCTTGGCATTAAGGTGCTGCAACTCTTCAATATAGCTACACTTTTTCAGCAGTCAGTTGCCACTGAGCATGATCAGTCAATATAGACTTGTTTGTGGAGTCCCCTTCTCTTTCTCTGCAAACATTGGGATTCCCCTACCCTAGTGACACTTTGCTCTTGTGCATGGTGTGTGTATGTGCTGGTTTGGCTACATAAGCAATGGTGCTCACAACAAGAAATAGAGGCAATAATGCTGATGAGATGATGAGAGTTCCCCCAGTTATTTCCACAATGACAATAGTAAGATTTTTTTTTCCACACTGCAATCAGAATAAACGGCTCTGGTTTTCTGTGTTTCTTGCTCACTGGATAATTCAACTTGGAGAGAAAACAACCCATTTATAAACAAAAAGTCTCATTGTGATAATGGGAACTGCTCTTAAAATTAGGGGACTATCCTTATACATCATTATATACACTCCACACATTGCAACTGCTTGTTTGCAATGAAAAAAGACACATTTGTAAATCATTCCAAATAATTTAAAGTCAGGGGTGGAAACCTGTGGCCTTCCTGATGTAGCTTATTATTGGCCATGCTGACCGGAGCTACTAGGAGCTGGAGTTGTCTCATTTTTGGTTTAAGGCAGGGGTAGGCAACCTTTCCCCTTTAAGGGCCAAGGGACTTCAGCTCCCAGAAGCCTCAGCCATGTTGGCCAATAGTCCCATGTTGGCCAATAGCTCCTGGGATTCTGGGAGCTGAAGTCCTTCGGCCCTTAAAGGGGAAAGGTTGCCTACCCCTGGTTTAAAGGATTGATAGCTCAAGCCTATATGCATGTCTACTCAGAGGTAAGGTGTGTTTGCCTTCAAGTTGTCTTTGCCTGATGGTGACCCTAAGGTGAACCTATCACAGGGTTTTCTTGGCACAATTTCTTCAGAGGGTGCTTGCCATTGCTATCCTCGGAAGCTGAAACACTGTGGGGCATTGCAGCTATAGTCCAGTGAAATGAGAGCTACAGCATCCTGGTAGAGTAATCCACCCCCTAAAGGGCTGGCCTGGGGGTGAGGTTGGGGCAGGGCAGCCACACACCAGCCGCCCCAACCCCACCCCGACACCGTCCTGATGCTGTGCCCCATTATGCGAAATAGCTGTAGCACCAGCTCTTAGGGTGACCTCCCCCCCTAAAACAAGCAGCATTTTGTCACTCTTTTAGGGGCAGCAAAAGGAAGATCAGGGCCACGGTGTGGGGTTGCCACAGCCCCGATCCACCGCTAGCAGGTACAGCCCAGAGCAACCCAAAATGGGCTGTGTGTACAGGCCCTATGACTTCCCTAAGTTCACCCTGAGGGTTTTCATGGCTGAGTAGGGATTTGAACCCTGGTCTCCAGAGTCATAGTCCAACGCTCAAACCACTATACCTTGCTGGCTCTCTCAGGGGTTATTTATAGCTTAAATCAGGGATGAAAAGTCAATACGTATAGTTTCCTTGACATTAGCAATTGAGTTTAGCCCCAAATAATTAATGTGTCTGATATCCACTCCCCCATTCTTATGAGCCATTGTGAAATGAGTGAGTTGGGGTGTTTGAAAAAAGAAAGAACTCACACTGATTACTCTACCAGGATGCTGTAGCTCTCATTTCACTGGACTATAGCTGCAGCTAAGTGAAAATCCAGATTGGTGTTATAGGCACACAAAGAGAAATAAACAGCTCTTGCATACTTCACAGAAGAGGAATGTATTTAAGGTGGCTTAGGGAACTTGTCAATTCATTGCCCACTCTTCTTGGCTATCAGAACAATACTTTTGTAAACAGTGTGCAAAATCTTAAGTTATGACAGTCCAAGTACATTAGAAAACTGCTAAGCTAACAGTTTAAAGAGAGCTTTTTTTAACAAGAGGATTTTTATTGGAATTATAGATTTAGAATAACAGGAAGAGCTGGTGGGGAAAAAACACCACCAACCATCCTGGTTCTTGGCATATTCTGATAATAAAGATGAATGCAACGTATGGAGTTTTTGCTATAAAAGAATGTGTGAAATGTGGTTTTCACCCTACTGGGTTCCTTGAATGATTTATGGAATAACAACAGCTAACTATCGCTCTCATTCTCCCCAACCAAATTTTGCAAGCTAAAGATTCATAAGTTTGCAGAGTTGAAGTGATTCTCAAGGGCCATTGAATCCAATTCAAGGAGTTCAGAGGTGACTAGTATCTTCTTGAAAAAACCCAAGGAAAGACTGCCCACCAGGGGTGTAGCTACAGGGCAGGTAAAATGAGAACACTGCCCCCATAAGACTCCTCCCCACACATTTTTTCCCTTCGTTTCCCTGATTTCTAGCATCACAGTAAACTTAAAACTTCAGTTGATCATTTAAAAATTCAATTTAGGTCCACAATGAAAAGAGTAGGCAAAATTACTATGGGATTTCAAACGCATAAAATGTAAGCGATCTAGGTGTGAATAACTGTCAACATCTGCAATACTAGAAATTGGAGATTAAAGGAAATGTTCATTTAGAGGAGAATAGAATCCATATTAAAAGGGTAGCCCTCTCATTTTGCCCTCCTTGTAGCCATACTCCTATTGCATACCAGTCCCCAGCTCATTAGTTCCCCTGTCACACTGCTCCTTCCATCAAGATGCTTTATATATATATTAACAGATCATATATTATCAAATATAGAGTTTGTTAACTAGTGTAGTGGTTCCCAAACAGTGGGACAGGACCCACAGAGGGCAGAGGATTGCTCAAGGGGGATGCGAGACTCAGAGGCCCTGATGCCTCCTCCTCTTTCTCTTCTCAAACTTTCTAATGTTTAAAATTTACAGATGTGTTGAGTTAAATATTGAATTTATTTAAATAAAACTGTTCTAATTTGAACAATATTATTTCCTTATAAAATATTAAAATATGAATATATATATGAAAATACTCACACCAAATAAATACAGCATTTTTACTGATATACTATGGACATTATCACACGGGGGCAAATCTGCTGGTTAATCCACACAAAATCCAGACAGAAATTGGATTAGTGCCCCGTGTTTTCACACGAAGTTGCACAGAAACTGGACAGAAAGTGGACAAAAACTGGTGTTAACCGCAATCTTTTAAAATTCGGTTGTTTGGAGGAAATGCAAATGTGCAATTAAGGTAATTACGCATTTACCGTAATGTGATCGCCAAATGCGCATTGGGGAGCATTTCCCTGCTGTTGCCATGGTTCCAGTGAGCATTCCTCTATCTGCGCATGTGCAAGAGGCTCATTTCTACTACATTTACGGGTTTTTTTCTCTTGTGTGTGGACGTTCAATGCACTTACTGTAAATTCGCAATGAAGGTAATGACGTTTGCGGAAACAAGGTTTATTTCCCGTTTATTTTCGGAATGCCTCATTTCCACTTTATTTTCGCTTTCTGGTCCATGTGTGATAACGTCCTATGTTATATGTAGATATAAAAGGGGGTCTCAGGGGTAAAAGAAAACTATCTGAGAACCCCTCTGAATGCTGGATTGAGTCTTGCTGTAGATAAAATACAGCATGTAAGTGTAATAAATGAAATAATACTGTTTACTGTTTATGGCTTTAAGGTCATCACAATGGACAACAGAGCAGATGGATGTTACAGAAAAGGAGATTTTAAAACAAAAGCAATTAAATGTGAAACAGTAAGAAACTCACTTAGCTACTAGCCCTTGATTCAACAAATAAAATTAATGTATTAAATGTAGAATTATTCTTTTCAAAGCTGAATTTAAAATCTTATTCTATTAATTTTCAGTTTACATTTTTTAAAAAGTAACTCTTAGTCGTAACCCAAACCAATCTGTGAAAGACTAAAAATAAAAGCAATGGGAATAATCGAGTGCCTTTCAGAGAATCATTTACTTTTGCTTGGTAAAAATTGGCCAGCGCCACTTAAGAGATGGCAACCATCGTCCACTATTTTGAGGTCCTTGTTAAAAAGCAAAAATGAAAACAGAGCACCTATCTTTTGACAAACTGACTAATTAGCATAATTTTTAACACATCTGCAACCTATTCTTCGGTAATCCCTTGTATCCATGAAGAGTTAAACAGATGAGGTGGTGAGAGATAACAAACAATTATTTTTAGCACTGAGGTCCTGTTGATAGGTCTTGTTACTGCTTTAGTGCTATTGCTCATAAATCCTTGTGTCAGATGCTTGAGAAAGCCACAGAGAAGCTCTCTTTTTCCTTCACACAGAATCTTTCCAGCAGTCACAGCTTTGAACTATTTAAGGGAAAGGTTATGTTGTATCTGTATAGTTATAGGCACATCCTTGTTTCGAGTTGTTGAAAAGTTTGTCCCTAGAGCATTTCAGACTGGGAGAATGAAGTGGAGGGAAAGAAGAAGAGAAAGGAAGGGGGAAGTTATATTAAAATGGGGAAGTGTAGTAGGAAACAAAGTAAAGATTTGTTAGCATCCATGTACTCCTTCTAGGTTCTCCTTACTGAGAAGATAGGAAGGGCTAGCTTAGCAAGGAAGTTGAGGGATAAAAAAGACAAAAGTCCTGCTTATGAATTCCTGACTTATGCCAGTCCTGACAAAGGCTGCATCTACACCAAGGGTCGGCAAACTTTTAGGGGGTGGGGCCGGATCCGCTGTCCCCTGATCTTCGGCGTGCCAAAGGGGGGGGAATGGTGGCGGATCCGCTTGCGGGGTTGCACGCATGCACGCATGCGCACTACCCCCACCATGGTGCGCATGAATATGCGAGCACGGGGCGCCATTTTACTTTCCAAAATGGCGCCCACACTCGCGTACGCATGCGCACCATGGCGGGTGCCCTTTTGGAAGTCAAAACAGCTCCAGCGTCACAAGTGCGTGCGCATGACACCGCCGCCGTTTTGTCTTCTAAAAGGATGCCCGCCATGGTGCGCATACGTGCGCACAGCGGGTGCCCTTTTGGAAGACAAAACGGCCCTGGTGTTGTGCGCATGCGCGCGTAAGCGCAGAGCACCATTTTGCCTTCCAAAATGGCGCCCGCGCTCACGCACGCATGTGCACGATGGTGGCTGCCCTTTTGGAAGGCAAAATGGCGCTGGTGTTGCAAGCGCATGCATACGATGCTGGTGCCACTTTGCCTTCCAAAATGGCGCCCGCCGTTGTGCGCATGTGTGGCAGCAGCGGCAGCAGGACCGGTCACGGGCTGATTTGAAGGCCTCGGCAGGCCAGGTTTGGCCCGCGGGCCGTAGTTTGGTGACCGCTGATCTACACTGTAGAAAAAATGCAGTTTGACATCACTTTAATTGCCATGGCTCCATGCTATGGATTTCCGGGATTTGTAGTTTGGTGAGATATTTAGCCTTCTCTGTCGGAGAGCTCTGGCGCCACCACAAACTACAAATCCCATAGGAAGGAGCCATGACAGTTAAAGTGGTGTCAAACTGCATTAATTCTGTAGTGTGGCATCAGGCAAGGTTAGACAACTTGGCTTCTCCTTGATTGAGTCTATCCATCTATGATGCTGTCTTCCTCTTTTCCTACTGCCTTCTACTTTACCAAGCATGATTGTCTTTTCCAATGAGTCATGCTTTCGCATGAAATGTGAGGACATGGCTTAACTGACTAATGTTTTGTTATATAGGGAGTTCCCAAAGCATCCTGACTTAATTCACCCTCCTGAACAATGCAACCAATCCCAGGCTTCCTCCAGCTGGACCCACGACAGTTAAAGCTTCGGTTTGGTGGGTTTTTTTAAAGTATTTAACATCATTATCAAATTGATATACGGTAACAATATAGTGCAGATACCAGGTGACCAGATGTCCTCCTTTTCTGGGACATGTCCTACATTTCAACCTTCTGTCCTGGAGGAATGTCAAAATGTTCTCCATTTTGAGCAGGATTAAGAAGCAGGGGTTGATATTTAGATGAGTGTTTTTAGATTTTCTTCTGTGACATCCTATGTTTTTCTTGAATGTCTTACCTTTTGTGGTGCCTTGTCCTCCTTAGCAGTGAGGACATTTGGTCACCCTGGTAGATACATTTTTATGTCCCTGTGTTTTAGGCTTGGTTTATACATGCAGAAGAAGGAGCAGGGAATGACACACTCTCCACAGGTTAAAAAGAAAAAGGAAATTAGTAGAGAAGGGAATGTATCACAAATTACACAAACTAGAACTCCCCTCCCAGGTTGTACTAATTTTTAAATATATATTGTTTTAATAATATAGAGAGATAATCAAAATGGCACTTTTGCCTTCAGCCATTGTATTGACTCAGGATTCTGTTCCCTTGTTCTAAAGCATCCGTAGTCAAGACCTTAGTAGCTAGTGCATGGTTATCAAGGCTAAGCTTGTGCATGGGAGGGAAAAACTAAAGAAGGGCATGAAGGAAGAATTTTTATATCTCTGGAGAGCAGTGAGTTAATGGGATATGGCTTGACTGA